TGCGGGAAATGGTGAAAAAGTCGAGACTTGAGAGTGCTATCATCTTTTCTCAGAGAATTCTTATGGATGGGAGGTGAAATCTAGGGTTCAGTCTTTAAATTTGCTTATGGGGGCTCTTTGTGAACGTAACCGCTCTGATTTGGCATTGCAAGTTCTACAAGAGATGAATTATCAGGGTTGCTATCCAGATAGGGAAAGTTATCAAGTCTTGATGAAGGGATTGTGTGGAGATGGGAGGTTGCACGAGGCAACACATTTATTGTATTCAATGTTTTGGAGGGTCTCACAGAAGGGCAGTGGTGAGGATGTCGTGATCTATAGAATACTTTTAGATGCTTTGTGTGATAATGGAAAAGTTGAAGAGGCTTTGGAGATACTTGTTAAAATCTTAAGGAAGGGGCTAAAGGCTCCAAAACGCAGTTATTGTCGTCTTGATCCTAGTCAGTTTAGTAACTGCAAGGATACAGAGGGCACAAAGCTTTTAATTAATGAAGTTCTGATTAGAGGGATAATTCCTAGTTTGGCCAGTTACAGTGCTATGGCGATTGATCTTTATAATGAAGATAGGGTTATTGAAGGTGATATGGTGCTGTACAAAATGCGCAATAGAGGCTTTTGGCCAACCCCACAAATATACGAAGCAAAGATGGCTGCATTGTGCAAGGATGGTAAAGTTGAAGAGGCATTGAAAGTAGTTGATGAAGAGAGGGCAAAAGGGTACTTGGCTCCAAATGTTAGAATATATAATATTCTAATGAAAGGTCTGTGTGATGAAGGGAAGTCGGCACTGGCTGTTGAATACCTGAAGAAAATGGCTAAGCAGGTCGGCTGTGTTGCTAACAAGGAAACTTATGATATTTTAGTGAATGGACTATGTTCCAATGGTAGATTTCTTGATGCAAGCCGAGTTTTGGAGGAGATGTTGATAAAATCATATAGGCCTTGTCTCGAAACATATAACGTTCTGATAGGGGGTCTTTGCTCCGTGCAGAGGCTGTATGAAGCTGTGATGTGGGTGGAAGAGATGGTTAGCCAGGGTTTGCTGCCAGAGATTTGTGTTTGGCGGTCTTTGGTTTCATCTGTGTGCTGCAATGCAAGTGATCTTGATAATTGTTATGAAACCTTAAATCATCCGAGTAGTGTGTCCTAGCTGATTTCTGTATCAGTTGATACTTGTTTTAGCCTTTACCTGATATGTACTTTTATAGCTTTGAACTTGTAAATTAACTTCCAAGTTTTTCAAATTAATTAATTAATTATGGCCATGTTTATATAAATTCTTTTTTTTTTTTTTTCACTTTTTAATTAACATTTATTATATTTACAGAATCATGGAAGTTTGAGTTAATAATAAAAAGAATAATGGTCAAAATTATGATGAAATTGAAAATTTTACATTTTTTAGTACTTATTCAGAAAATTATTTTGTTTATATTTTAATTAATTTACAAATTAAGTTTTTATTGTGTATTATGTACAGAATATAAATTTTAACTTTTTTCTGTTAATATAAAAATAACAAAATATTTTTCTATAAATAATAATATAAAAGTAAAGTAATTCTAATAAAATATTTAAAAAATATTATCTTTAAATCTAATAAAACAATTTCAATATTGTATTTGAAGTAAAACTGCAAAAAATCTATACACGGTAAAAAATTCTAAAATTAAATTAAAAATATTGTAACGACCTCGGAAATCCAAAAGGAAATATATACTAATTTAAATGCAGAAGCGAAATAAAAAGTTAAGGTTTACATCCCTTACACAATAACTTAAAAGTACTAAACAAATATCATGGAATGAAATTTCTGAAAGAAACACGAGAAATGAGAAAAGTAAAGAAATATGTAAAATATTTAGTATCTACTCGCAGTCTTCTTACGGATCGGGCTTGGGAATCAGATCCTCTTGATATGAAATAGTTAAATAAAGAATGAGCTACACTAGCCTAATAAGGACATCACACTATATCACCGTCACAGAAGTAAAGGTTGGTAGAAAATCAAAACAACCAATGGAGTATTAGATTTGAACCAATACATTTATTTAAACTAAACCATTTACCCTTTTACTTACCATTGGGGAATTTATAAAAATAAATTATAGAAGCAATA